GCATGTGTGTCCCAAAGTGGTGTCCCTGTCACGCCAGGGTCCTCCCTGCCCATGCTGTCACACTGCCTGTGGGGCTGCCAAGGGCCTCCGAGCCGGAGCAACCATACACCGCTCCCTGCCCTAGGTCAAGATGCCGCCCATGGAGCTGGAGACCATGGGGCATGATCACCCTCACGTTTGGGAACCAAGCCCTGACACCACGGGTGATCCTGTAGCAGTCTCCCAGAGTGACACCCAGACGCATTCCTCACACAGCCCTCCCTGTTTAAGGGCTGGAGCCAGGCAGGAGGGAGAAAAATGCCACCATAATTGCATCCCTCTTAATTATCCTCGGCAGGTGCTCGCTGAGTCATGGCCACCCAGGTGCTGGAGTACCACAAGGCTGTGCCGCCCTGGGCGGGTCAGGCGTCCGGGAGTGGTGCTGGGTGGGTGCCCCGGTGTCCCCATGGAGCTACGAGGGGTGGGTGCTCCTGTGCCCACACTGCCATGCCAGCTGCCCCGGGACCATCTTTGCTGCAGGCTTGGGGGCCCTTCTCCCTGTGGCTTGTCCCACGGGGGGCAAAACCCAGACCACCTCCTGCCCTTGCCTTGATGCTCTGCTCCAGACCTTACTGGCATTCACAGGCACCACCTCTTTCTACCTCCATAACCTCCACACCAAGTGGTGTCCCACCCTGCCCCTTCTCTTAACCCTCCATCCATCATTTCCCTCCTGGATCTGTCTCCCTCCCCAAATCCCTTGCCTTCCCACACTTATCCTCAGTAATCCTTCCTCATTCTCGAAGCTCCCTCCACCTCAGCAGCCTCCTCCTCCCAGCACCCCTTTGTTGTGGGCCAGCAGCTGCCTTGGGTTCAGTCCCCTTTAAGCCTCCCTGAAGCTGGAATGCGAGAGGAGCGTTTGTGCGCCCTGTGAGGTCAGATAAAGACACTATATTTATCTAGCCGGTAACCTGAGCCATGAATTTCTGCAGTGGTGTTTTTACGTGTTTTTCCCGGCCCCCCCCCCCCCCAGCCATTACGGCCGCTCCTTGCCGGGTGGAGGAGCTGAGTGTGGGGTGTCTTGTTCCCCGAAAAGTGCTCAGGTGCTGTCAGCCCCTCTGCATCTCTCCCTCTTCTCCGGCCCTGGGGGAAGCACCCTGAAGAGGCAGGATCTGCTCCCCACGCTCAGCCCCGTGGGTATCACCCCATGACCAGCTGCTCGGCCCCCGTCGTGCCGGCCTCGTGCCCCTGAACCCAGCACCGTCCGCCCGCCCTGCCAACCCGCACCCAGGTGAGTGGGGAGGGGGATGCCAGCCCTGGGGAGGGGGCTACAGCGTCAGAGACTCAAAGGTGACAGCAAAACTGCCCCCTTCTTCCCTCAGCTGAGTAAAACCACGGGGAAGAGCTTTGCAGCCTCTACATCCCCAGAGAGCAGGTTCAGAGTTCACACGTGGAAATTTGGGAGCTCTGTGCCAGCAAGCTGTGCTCCCTGGCGCCTTCCTCATGCCCCAGCCTGGGCTGAGCCGTGTGGCTGCACACTTCCCTGGGGTCCCTTCTTTTTTTCTGCCCGCAGACTTCAAAGCAATAACATGTCCTGGGTCTTACATCCAGGTTTCCCACGGGTTTGGGGTTTCGCTGCCTTGGGGGTGGCCCGGGAGCAGTGAGCAGCAGGTTCTGCAGCCAGGTGGGTATGTGTCAGCAGCACAAGGCTAGTCCAGGGCGGTGACTCCTGGCCAGCATGTGTGGCATGAGTCTGGAAGGTTCTTAGGCCCCGTGGCTGGCAGGGGAAGGGTCCTGGCCAGGCTGGCCCCAGCTGCACACATCTCCTTGAGCAGGTCCCGTTGCTCTGAGGTGTACCAGCGGTGGGGAGGCAGTGCTGGAGCCAGGGCAGCTTCTGCCAAAGTGCTTGTGCCAGGTGGCAAAGGGGCTGCTGGCAGTGCCCTGGGGCACTGGGGTCTCTGTCTGCTGAGCCAGGGCACTACTTGGTGACTCTGGCCCCTTGCAGGGAGCACTCTGAAGCAGGTTCACCCTGAGGCTGCTCAGGGCCACCTTTCCTAGAGAGAAATGCAGATACCCAGAGGGACCCCTTTGCTTGTCCGCCTCAGGGAATGGGCAGGAGGCTGTCCTATGCCTCCAGCACTGTCTGGTGGGTGTGGAAACCCTCCGCTCCAAAATGCTTGACAGCTGGAGCAGGCACAGTGGTTCACATTGGGTTCCTACTCTGCCTCCGCTGTCGCAGAGGGCTGGGAGTTCCCACGTAACCTCCAGGCTGGGACATTGTGTCTCAGGGGACAGGCGACAAAGCCTGCGTAAGCGAGAAGCAACTGTGCCGTAACACCTTGGATGGAGCCAGCATGGCGTAAGCTGAGCTCCGGGGCTCTCCAAGGGAGACAGCTGCCTCTGGGGCACGGCAGGAGGGATCCAGCAGAGGGATCTGACTGCAGAAGGAGCAGGGTCGCTGCTCCGTTGCCTCCAGGGGTGAAGGGTTTGCCTCCCAGCTTAGTGCTGAGCCATTGGGAAGGCTGCCGGAGCTGGAGGGACGGGCAGAA